CACAAAGGAAACTTTCTCTCTGAGACTGAAGAGTGTCAGAACTGAGGATAAAGGAGTTTACACGTGTCAAGTGTTTGCTGGAGGACTTTCAGCCAATGCAACTGTAGTACTGGAGCGACTGGGTGAGTCCACAAACAAAGCAAAAAGTAAAACAATGTCTATTTGTGCCAAATTTAAATAGACAACCTTGTTGGCAATGGCCATTTTTGTTAACTCCACCCACCATTTAAACAATCTGAATATTGTTCTGTTGACACTGTTTGAATATAGCATCTGTCATCATTTGCACTTGGTGTAAACAAGATGCTTGTTTAAACTGCTTGTTTAAAATAGTATCTACCACTCAGTGTAAGGTGCAAATAACTGCCAAAATGGTTGTAGGAGGTTATTTAAAGAATGAATTGTCTTGATTGCAAACCTCCTAATTATATTAAATACGTATACCAAGTTGATTCAGAGTAGATGCAAATGTTATACTTGATTTTTGTTTCACCGGTTTCTCTTCTTGCTTTGCTGCTGGCTCTGGAGCTGTACTTCTGCTCTCCTCTCTGATCTACTGCAGATCAAATAAAACATATTTCACCGGTTTCTCTTCTTGCTTTGCTGCTGGCTCTGGAGCTGTGCTTCTGCTCTCCTCTCTGATCTACTGCAGATCAAATAAAACATAAAAAAAAAGTTTTTTGTTAATTTAACTGTGATTATTCTGCATCTTCTCTCCAGCCACCAGCAACAAAATCTGGAATCTTCAGCTTTCGCTGGTCTTTTGTCCAAACATCTGTATGTTCTTTGCCTTCTTCCTTTGGGGCTTTACGAAGGTGAGTAGTTTAGTGTTCGTAGTTATATTTGTAAATAGTAAAATAAAATAAGTATAATAATATTAATAAGTAAAATAATATGAATATAATCTTAATAATGTGGCACACTTGTTGGTGTGTTGTATATTCTGTAATGGTTTAACTCTTCAAAACTTTCACATAACACAGTTTTTGTCATTAAATAATTAAATATTCTGTTCCAGGATCTCTGAATGAGACCATCACTTGCTGTGCTCTTTATATTCTGAGGCCTGTTATGTTGATTTGGGCTATGCTTTATTTAAAGTATCTTCAAGGTATGTTAGGATTTAAAGTTTATTTTTTACAAATTTTTTTAAGGAGTTCAGTAAATGCATTTTGTAGCAACATTAACACGATGCATTACAATATTGTTAGTCATTACTTCTATTGCAGTTAAATACATTAAAGTGTCAATTACTGAAGCATGACAAACTCAGCCTCAGATTATTTTCTAATTATATTCTTGGCAACAATGTTGAATGTGTCAGGAAAATTGTAGATTTGTCTAAATGCTGAGTACAAGCAATAGAACAGATATGTGATGCATAGTAATGCCATGAATCTGGTTAACAGAAATATTCTGTTGGAAACTGTGAAGTATGAGCATGTTGATGGGTATTGAAAATACACATAGTTTTATATTTTAATGCATGCCTAAGAAACCTAGTTGTGAAGTATCTGAGGGATTTGGCATCTGCAGGGTGATGCACAACCATGCTCCATTTTTTAAATGTTGGGAAAAAGAAAATGCTGTTCTCTGTAGACAGATATACTAATGCACTGCCAATATCATGGCAGTGCATTGGTGCTTAACAAAATATTAATTTGATGTATTCAACCCTTTCTGTCAACAGACAACCTTAAAACATGGATAAAGTTTTTCAAAATAACCAGAGAACTTGCTATTTTTACAGTCGTTTTTTATTCAGGTAAGTAAATGCACATTTCACACAACATTCTGACATTAACAGTAGCTATGTTTCCTTCAAAACGTATGCACAAAATTAGAATATCGCATAAAACATTCACAAATAAAGCAATGTTTCCATTCCATGTGTTCATGAAAATAAAATCATCTCTTCCTGGGAAACTGGCAATATATCAATAATAACAACTGGGGAAGCCTGTGGCTCTTTTTGTCCTGCACAAATTACTTGCGCCTCGGTGCGCAGATGAAAAGCAAAAATAAACGCTGTCATGTTATCTTGTGTTTGGATGCAATTGTGTGAGACAGTTATGGGAGGTGATTATACCAAATCACTTTTTAATGCTATTTTGCATTTGCTGAATGCAAATGTTTAGAATGTATGCATATCTTGGTGTTTTTAACCAGTGTTTTTTTTTTTTTTCATCCCCTTTTTGTGATTATTCCTAAATTCACATAAAATC